TCTTTCAAGCAGAGACTCGACGAAACCTTGGGACACCTCACATTCGTACACTAAAAGCAAACGGAAATTCACTGTAGCCTACATTCTCTATCTCCTACCCGGATCTCTATGCGACTCCTTTTTCGATGTAGAACGATTCATCTGTGTAAATATCCTATGGGACAATAGAAGCACCAGCTTGTAAGTTATTCCCAATAATAAAACTGACTTTGACTTTGAAATATCTTTTGTCGTAGAAGCCCTACTCACTGTCTTCCAGTGGCGGAGGTGTTCGCCCACCAAAGTGATAGGACGGAAAGCAAATAGTCCGAGCTACAACGGAGTTGGTGAAACGCTGACAGTTCACGCTGGGGGAAATTTGCCAAAAACCCTGATTACAAAACGACCAAGAAGAGATGCACGAACCGCACACCCACACTTTCCCGATCGTGGCAACAGTCACCGTCTCGATTGGGTATAGAGGTGTATTCGGCACCTCGATTCCGTCCAAGGGGCGTCTAATCCGATGAAAAGGGCATCGAATCTCAATAAATTGCTATTTTCACATCGGCTCCCTGCCTTGTGAGTTAGGCTTTGGTTAGCCGAAGGCTCCGGTTATGAATTCCCCAAGAAAATCCACCTGCATTGATTTGTGCAACCTGGCAGTATTGAGTACACAAGCAATTCGTGAAACTATTTTGTTTTATAAAGATATTGTATTGTGAGTAGTTTGACACCCAGCCTAGTTTCAGAGGTGTGTGAAATATATGACACAACGCACCCGGTAGTGTTTTAACCGTTTTAACTGTGTACGCTTGTCAAGTGATTGTGATCTTTTTTATTACACACCAATGTATGATGAACAGCAGTCGGGGCGGAACCATAGTCACGAAGACCTGCTGTCCAGAGATGGCAATCGGTAACCTAACCCCCGAGACTTGGAGTGGCGAACCACATAAGGCCCCGATAGTTCAGCCTGCCTACAATCAAAGTTGGGTGGCGGTGGCCGGGCTCGAACCTCAGACCACAGGGTCCAAAGCACACCGATGACAGCGACTAAACCACTGCGCCACCACCACCCCTAACTAGGTGCGGACCGTCAGCGGTCACGAATTAGCCAGATTTCGCACATATCATACCAGCACTTATCACAACCGACATGAAACGCTCCTAAGTTGCGCACTGATTAGTCCCACTGGAACGGACCAGCTTATTGCCAAGGCAATTGTTCATCGCTAAGGTGTTGTCATAACCATCGTAATAAAGGACCGTACGGATCATTACTTTAGATCCTAAATAATTCCCATTTCGCCTGATTCGTCTCAGTGCTCATAATGATGCACTGACAACAGATTTCTAAAAGAATGTAACGTACTCCCATGAGAATGAAATCGTCAAACGAGGCAGCTGGTAAATGCTGACAGTTCAATCATGTTTCGAAAAGTGAATCCAACCGTCGGTTCTCCATTGAAAATTACGGAAGGAACAGAAAAAAATGCAATGTCCCGTCCCTGAAGTTTTGATGTGAACTGAGAAGCCTGTCTATTTGTAAGATGGATTCACTGACGTGCATGAATTTTCACGAAACAGGACTGGTAAATGTATTTGTTGTGTTTGATAATTTTCTGTAAGAAAAAGGAAATGTTCAAAACACTTGACCGTTCAATTATCAGTTTCAGTTTTAGTTTGAACAACCATTAACCATGCACTTTCGTGCACCGGTTTTGGTTGCTGTCTTTTGGCTGCCCATTTGGATGAAGAATA